CTGTTAGATCAGGGGCATTTATACATGACTATGGGCCTAAGCTTCCCATAAACCATACAGATTTGGACACTGCTCTAAATAAAGGCATTTCATTTACACTTGGAATAAAAACTCTAGATACTTTTCTTGAATTCTCTGTTAAAATAGGCTGGACATCAGTCCTCTGGGTACCCTACAGATTGCTCAAATTAGTATTTTTCAGTGATTAAAAACTCTCCATCTAAGGATATCAGTTTTACAAAGCTATGTAATGATAAATTTTGTCATTTTACAGCTAATGAAAGTAACATGCACTTTGTTCACTTGACAGGAGGAAAAGGACAACTGAAATTCTGCCAGCTGTCCAGGAAAGAGCGCACAGCATTTTGGGTTTTTAATTTATTCTTAGTACAACTATTTCCTTACTGTGGTACTTTGGAACCCTATCTGATGATCCATCTATCTCTCTCCTCTTAATTCTTAGCTTCCTGGCAGGTGCTAACAAAAAATATGTTTTGGACAGAAGCAGTGCTGGGAGCGGTGCATTAGGGTCTGGCATGCCCCTTTGCTCCCGAAGCAGCACGCTGCCTGCACTGGGGAGCTCAGCACTCGGAGGGGACAGGCAGTTTAGAGATGGCACCAGCCCCTGGTTTCTGATGGCACCAGCCCCTGGTTTCCAGCTCCCAGGGAGAGGGGCCTGAGACGCTGGAAATCTACTGGGAAGCTGTGGCCCCACAATCCCCCAAATGCTGGGAACAGAAGGGTTTGTTGGATTTACTTAAATCTTAGTCAGAGATTCTTGCCAAGAAAACTCACTGATGCAAACAACAAAATTCGCCTTGTTCAATTGTGAGGAAATGAAGTTGTCTTTATGTTTGCACAGTCCCGGTTTTTCACTTGCTTAAAGCTGCTGGTTGTCACCAGCCGCCGGGAAAGGCGAGCCCTGGCGCTTGCCCTGGCCGAGGTAGGCTGCAGCGCAGGAGTCCCCTTGGGCCAGCTGAGGTTGAGACAGAAAATTACTTCTATTAAGAATTTTACATTGAGAATTGGTTTGGGGGGTTTTTGGTTGCTTTTTTTTTCTTTTTTTTTTTTTCCAATCCTAAACCATTCACTAACCCACCCCTTAGCTTCGAACACTTGATCGAACACCCATCAGGCAGCTTCGAATTCTTCAGGACTTTTTCAGAGCGCTCCCGAGGGAGCTGAGGGAATACTGGTGGGGTTTAAAAAAAAAAAAAAAAAAAGAAAAAAAAAAAGAAAGAAAAGAATGACAGCTTCAGTCGTATTTCCGCAGAGGCTGCCCGCTCCGGGGCGCCCGTTCCTGAGGGGAAACCCTCCGCCGCCCCGCCGGAGCCTCCCGGGCCCGAGGCCCGGCCCGGCG